ACAGGGGGATGAGAGCATGAGTGGGGGCAGGGGGAGGACGGGAGTTAATAGGGGGGAATGAGGACACATTTGTAATTCCTTAACTAATAAAGAATTTAAAGATAAAAAATATGTTGTTCACTAGGGAGATATAAAGATGATTGTAATGTATATACTTAATGTTATAATAAAGATATATAATGAGTACAATGGTGACCCCTTTGGTCCTTCAAACTGGGGATGGACCACAGGATGATCTATTGGTAGGGTGTTTGACCCTAAAGCCTACTTTTTTGTGTACCCTCTGCAGGAATGTTTTCAGAGAATCAATAATCAGGGAAAGTTCAAAAATAAAAAGGTGAGAAAAAAGGGCATTTCAAGAAAAGTAAATAATACCCATAGAGGAATAGAATTAGAAAGCAGTATAAAATGTTTGAAGCACCACGAATGGTTCAGTATAGAATATAGAGTATAAGATGAATGAGCAACAGAAGATGAAGATGGAAAGATAGGCAGGAAGCAGTCTATAGAAGACTTTGCATGCCATTCAAAGGGATTTTGATTTTATCCTATAGGCAATAAAGGACATTTAAGGAATTTTAACCTGGCCCTAGTTGATTTGGCTCAGTGGATAGAGCATCAGCTTTCAGACTAAAGGGTTTTGGGTTTGATTCCAGTCAAGGACACATACCTTGGTTGCAGTCTCCTCCTTAACCCTGGCTCTGGTTGGGCTCGTGCAGGAGGCAACCAATTGACGTGTTTCTCTCACATCGATTCTCTCTTCCACTCTCCCTTAAAATCAAGGAAAAATATCCACAGGTGAGGATTAACAACAACAACAAAACAAAAACAAAAAACCAAAAAAAGAAAGAAAAAGAATTTTAACCTGGAGAATATCATGGTTAAATCATTATTTTTTTAAAAGATCATTTGTTGGTACATTAAAGATGATATTTCATTAAAGAAGACATTAGTAGGAAATAAAAATATTACCTGAATAAACTTTATATGGTCATTGTTTTTATCTAACCATGGAATATGGTATAGTGCTTCAGTAAGAGTAAGTGGCTTGACAATGGGTTCAAAATCAAGCAATTCTCTTTTTTTGTCCATTATTAACTAAAATAAAAAGATTTAAGAAAGAAGATGAACAAAACTAGTGTTCACAGAATGTTTACAACAATTATGCGTTTGCACCATTTCTTTTTTTCTCTCTTTTTTTATTTTTTGCTTTTCTGAGACTTTGGTTTTTCCATGGAAACTTCAAAGCTCTCTCTTCTTACAGCATTTTTTTGCTATCATATTCTAAAGTCATAGATTAAGCTTTTCAAAGTAAACCTTTTTACTAAAGTGTAGCAGATAGGCCAAAAAAGCACAGACCATAAAAGTTCATTCAAAGAACATCTACAATGTGAAAACATCTGGGTAGCCAGAATCCAGATTAAGAAATAAAACATTTTCTGTATCCTCAAACCCTTCCTTATGTTATCTACTTGTCATTGCTCCTATACAAAGATAATCATTCTTCTATCACCCAAATCTAGCTTTATCTGGGTTTCAGCTTTATTTGCATAAAATCAGAGATTGTGTACTTGTTTTTGTCTGCTTTCATTTGCTCAACATTATGTTTCTGAGATTCATCTACAATGTTCAGGGAGCAAAAATGCACTTTTCATTGTTGTATATGCTTATGTTGTATAATAATACCACAGCTTTGTCTACTATTGATTAATACTTTAGGTGCTTCAGTTTGGGGCTTTGTAATGCTTCTATGAGTGTTTTCTATACATATGTACATATTTCTGTTGAATATCTAGTTATATCATCTAATTGTTGCGTCATAAGATATATGGTTAAATTTACTAGATTTTGCCAAATGATTTTCTAAAGTGATTACATCAAGTTACACTCCCACTCTAATGTTCCAGTTGTTCCATTATTTGCCTACACCATGTATTGTCAGTTTAAAAAAAATTAAGAATTCTGGTAGTTGTGTATTGGTCATTAATTTTAGTTTTCATTTGTATTAAGCTTATGAAATGGTATTTGGCACCTTTTGTTATCTTTATTGGCTGTTTGAATATCTTCTGTTGTGGAATGCCTATTCAAATCTTTTGCCCATTTTTTTGAAAAATGGGTTTTCTGTCTTATTCTTATTGATTTGTAAGAGATTTTTACATATGGTGTTAGGGAAGGGTCCAATCCTAGAAAGAAGTGATCCCTCACTATGGCAAGAGAGGAAAGAGAAATTGATCATGGGAGCTGCGGGAAGAAAATGCTCTGTGGAGTGTGCTTTGTTCTAGAGAACGATTTTAAGATAGACATTCATGTGTCAGGGATGACCTATATTGGAAAGAGCCAAAAGTAGGTTTGAAGATCAGAAATGACTATATAGCAAATAAGTATAATTGCTTGAAGATATTCTAGCTTACCTTGTTAATCTCATTAGCTTCAATTTTATGAAGAATTCCTTTTAACCTGAAAACCCTAACAATTTCTCTAGCCAAACTGAGCATAACATTAATCTCCTCCTTTGTTTTCATAGTGACAGCAATTTCTGGGTGATCATACTCTAAGTAACCTGAAAAATAACAAAAACTAAATGTTTAAATATTTCATTTGGACAAGAAACTAATATTTCTGCTCTAAATACATGGAATACAACCCTCAAAAGAGGAAGATGTCTCTCTTCCTAAGGAGGCCTCTGCAATCAACCACTATTCACCAGTACTTGCAGAGCTCTGCCTGCCATTTTTTTTGTCTTCAGCTCATTCTTGTGCTGTGAAGGAGGACAGATAGCCTCAGTTTCAGGACTAACGATTCTATTAATACAACTGGACACTTGAACGGCTCTTCTAAGCTCTAAGTCTGAAGTTCATGACTTAACTTTCTTATTCTGTTGACTACAGACTGGAGGCTTAGATATGGCTTTTGATTAAGTCTTTCCACTCCCCCTGTCTGTGCATGGACATGCTGCATCCATCTACACTCTCTGCCTGTCTAGTCTGGCAGAGACTAGACAGAGGCCCATGAGAATTTCATCCCCCCTAGACTGTACATTTGGGCCTTTCCTTGGTCATGACTTCTTGTGTGGTTTGACAAGTATCTGCCATGTAAGTTCTCTCAAGCATGGCCTCATTCCCAGGCTTGCTGTGTCCTTTTGCTACCCACCATCTGGTACCCAAATCCCTTCTCCTCACACAGGAATGTTATGCTATAGGAGTGTGTCTGTCTTACTCCTGGGATTTCTTCAGCAGCAGGAGTATGACCTGGCATGATTCAGAGAATAGGCTGTTGCCATGTTTGGGCACTGAGCCACAACAGAGGTCTGTGAGGCTCTGTTCTGATTTTAATTCTTTCTAAAGCCTAAGTCCTCATATGGCAGCTCTGTGGCAAGTGGGAGATAAAAATAACTTCTTCCTTTGATTGTTCAGGAAGGCATGCACATGTCTGGTTTGAGAAAAAAACAGAATTTATAAGGTGATAATAATGTGTAATCATGCCATGCAAATTTGTTTTCTTTAAACAGAAGTTAAAAGGCCTGCATTGTGGCATAAGGCAGAGAGAACAAGTTTGGAGAGATAATATACAATTTGGTCCAGCCCAAAATGTGATCATATAGATTGTTGAGGTTATCCACTTTATTAGTAGTAGTAAGTAGTCATTTATTATCAAAGATCAAGTTACTTATCAAAACCATTGCCCCTCTGCAGTAGTGATGATAAGAGATGATCATGAATCCTTAGGTGAGAGGTACCTACCTAGCTCTTTTAGAGCGTGCACTGTATTCCTCGTTATTCTCTTTAATAACACCTACGAAACAAATGAAACATCCCCATTGGAAAACAATCTATAATAACATGTCTTAATATTTGCAACTGATAGATTTTTAACCTAAATTAATAACTAGAGGAAAATATGAAAAGCTTTTCAGGGATTGGACTTGAATTTTGTGCACTGGACTCTATTTTGTTCCAGCAAGGGTGATGGAGAGGATAGGAAGTGGCATCATCAAGGTTGGTTTTGAGAAGCCTGAAGGTGAGTCATATATTTTTCTTTCAAGCAACTTGTTTTAGAATCCTACTGATCCAGAAAAGTGTGGGCATGGTGGTACTTTCCATTCAACTTTATGACAGCCTGCAAATGTGGGACATAGAGGCGGCTTTCAACCTTAAGTGAGTTAGAAAGTTTGGCCAAGATGTGTGAGAGCAAAAATGAGGCTTAAAAGTGGACAGCACCCTAGAGAGGCAAGTCCTTTTCTATTTTCTATTGTCTATCATCAAATCGCAGTGCTAAATATGAGTGGTTAGGAAATGAAACAAAATTGAGGGAAATAGTTTTAAAGTGATAGGTGTTGAAGGGAGGAAAGACACTGCTTTTTGTGTTCTACTAACAGTATTTAATATTTAATTTTCTCAAGTGCAAAGTTTTGGCATATAACACATAGCATTCAAATGTTCTAAATTGCCTCAAGAAGTAAATATTTAATTTCTGATGTAGCTGATAAACTTCGGTGCCCATGTCAGTGTGAATCTGCCTCAATTGAGAAAATAATATATAAAAGCTAAAACTTAGGCCCTAGAATTCTCTTTGCTGCTTATGTGTTTGGGGGGCATAAACTCTCTTGGCTTCATTTTTCTCCTCTGCATACGGAGGGAACTAGACAAGGTTTCCCTTTAGATGAGTTATTGTTACTTCTTTCCATTTGCCAGATCCCCATCCTTTAATTCTTTTACTATTTACTGTGGGAAAATAGGGGATAGAGAGAAACAGAAGGAACCTTTGTGAATGACGAAGAAGATTTATTTGCCCCACACTGCCACCACTTCCCATCCTCCAGTGTTTCCTATTTAATGAATCTGTAGCCTGATCTAGCCTGGAACTTGCATTGGGAGGAAATGGACCACTGCGCATGGGGGTCATGATTGCGTCTGCAAGGACTGCAAGGTATGTTCCAAGAGCTTTGTAACTTGATAATATGGCACAGACATTTTAGTAAGATTGCTTTTCAGTAATAAAATGTACACTAGTTTACGTTTTTACAAAAATTACCTAGCAAACCAGGGATCTAAGAATACATTTACATATATACATAGAGAACATGATGGGTGAGGGCAACTGAACGGTAGGGAAAATAAACCCTTTTCTTAGTCTTTAGTTTTTCTCACCTGTTTAACCTTCTTAGAACTTGCAATCTGATCAATTATAGTCATGATGTCTGCTTCACCTTGGACATATCCTTTTAGAATAGCATATTTATAGGACAGCTGATGACTCATCCTCTTATCTATAAATTGCAGCAACTTTGGTGTTATGAGCTGAAAAAGGAGGACTACTATTTAATATACATTGTAAAAATTTTAGTTGATTGTACATTGATTTGTTTAACTAAAATAGAACATATTAAGAAATGACATGTTCTTAACAGTAATGATAGTAACTTGTCAAGGCTCTTATTATTGTATTCATGATACCTTTATAACTGCATGGGTAGAGCTATTTCCCTGTAACTAATAATGTTGGCCACCTGTGTAAAATGATGGCTTTATTTTTTCCTTATAGATAATTGTATGCTATTTTCAACTGGTTTAAATTCTTGGAAAACAATGCAATCAATCTTTTCTGGGCTTAGTAGAAAATGACTGTCTATAAAATACTGCCACTTTTACCTGCTAAATCTTCTGCTAAACCAGTGGTTCTCAACCTTGGCTGCACATTAGAATCACCTGGGAATCTTTTTAAAATCCTGATTTCTGGGCCACATCCTCCGGAAATTCTGTTTCTTTGTTACTAATGTTGTGGCCCCACCCCATAACAAAGAAACAGAATTTCTGGAGGAAGAGGCCCAGAAATCAGGATTTTAAAAAGATTCCAGGTGATTCTAATGTGCAGCCAAGCTTGAGAACCACTGTGCTAGACTTTTTGTTAGTTGGTCCATTTGGGTTAGAACATACCACACTACACTGAGTGGCCAGATTATTATGACATTTGTAGGCAAATTAGCCGTACACTGCATCATATGGGATATAGAAGCCAAAGGCCTGTTTGAACACCTTTGCTGTGTGCAGTTACCAAGATAAAACGTCTCCAATTCACACAGGAACACAAGGATTGGACAGCTGAGCATTGGCAAAAAGTCATGTGGTCCGATGAGTCATGTTTCCAGTTGCATCATGCAGATGGCAGAGTGAGAATTTGGTGGGAACAGCATGAAAGCATGCACCCCACATGTATGAGTACAACCCTTCAAGCTGGTGGGGGCAGTGTTATGGTTTGGGGCATGTTTTCCTGGCATGATTTGGGCCCTTTAATTCGTGTGGAACAACGTCTGACTAGCACAACATACCTAAGTATCGTTGCTGATCAAGTTCATCCTATCATGTTGATGGCATATCC